TATGTACTGTTTTAAGAAATTATTACATAAGGTTGCGTCACAAATCGACAATAAAGAAATAATTGAATTTCACTGAAATTAACGACATCATGATATAAAAGCTGTCGAATAAGGGGTCAGATAAGGGATAAATAGATGATGCCATCGTATTTAAGATTTCACCAAATATTCTAAGCAAATATATTGTTCGGCTTAATAATTTTAACAATGTTAATGTCAATTAATTACTATCCCCTAGGACTTGCTGGTAATTCTGTAATATAACTTGAAATAATTTTATAATAAATTTGGAGACGGGGGTTCAGCTGGGATGACCCAGGCAAGGAAGAACAACTTATAAAGTGTGGACAAGTGGTTAAAATATCTTCCCGGTAATTTCAATTAAGGATTACGCCAATGCTTACACAGATGCGAATGAAAGCGGTTATGCGGCAGTAGCTTATTTTCGTATTGTGAGTAATAGTAACACGGTTTGCTCGCTGGTGGGATCTAAAACCCGTGTTACCCCTCTGAAAATTACCTCAGTTCCTCGCTTAGAGTTATTGGGTGCACTCATTGGCTCTCGTTTTGTCAAATACTATTTCGATAGATAAACAATATTACTGGTCTGATTCAAAGACAGAAATCCTTTGGTTAAGATATGCTAATAAAAAATATCACCAATTTGTCTCTTTGCGTATTAGCGAAATTATGTATGCGACAGTATGCAAGATTGACATTGGATTCCAGGAAAGTAAAATGTTGCCGATGAAGCAACGAAATGGGCAAAGATATCCGATCTTTATTTTGATAATCGTTTGATAATCGGGCAGTCGCATTACACATTTGGTAATTATGAATTTTAATATAAATTACAAGCGCCTTATTCACGAAAATGTGATAAATGAATTAAGACAAAAATGTTATATTCCTTGGATAAAGGCTGTTTTTTATAAAAAATTATTGAAGCAGTGCCAAATGGGTAAAATAAAGCTGTTCCAAACATACCTCAAATGGCAATCAGACGGCAGCATTTTGTTGTACTTTTACATATAGAGGTATGGACTATTTTGGCCCTATTTTGGCAACGGTTGGCCGACATACAGGAAAGAGGTATGGTGCGTTAATAATATGTTTTACGGTAAGAGCTGTCCATATAGAGTTTGTCAACATTCTTAACACTTCATCGCGCAATGACGAGGGAGTTTTTCACTGAAATAAATTTGTCAAATAATATTGAAATCGGTTCAGATTTGGATATAGCTCCCATATATATTTCGACCGATTTCATGTATTTGATGCGCCAAACACGCTATGTATCTCTAATTTCAATGAAATTTGGAATGTGTAGCGGAAATTAAAACAAATATACATTTGTCAAATTATATTAAAATCGGTTCAGATTTGGATATAGCTCTACTATATATTTTCGACCGATTTCATGTATTTTATGCACCATACATGATATGAATGTTCGATTCCAAAGAAATTTGGAATATGTAACGGGATTTTGATTAGAAAATAAATTAGTCAAATTATATTAAAATCGGTTCATATTTGGATATAGCACCCATATATATTTTCCACCGATTTTACATATTTGATGCACAAAACACGATACGTATTTCCGATTCCAATGAAATGCAAGAATGACTATATTTGGTACAAAAATAAATTTGACAAATTATATTCAAATATATATATTTGGGTATAGCTCCCATGTATATTTCTGCCAATTTTATATATTTGATGCATCCAACGCGATATGTGCGTCCAATTCCAATGAAATTCAGACAGAGAGACGAAAAAGAAAAATTGCCAACTTTATATTGAAATCGGTTGAGGTTTGGATATAGCTCCCATATATATTTCAGCCGATTTCATATATGTTATGCACCTAACACGATATATATAAATGATTCCAATGAAATCCAGAGTGTGTGGCGGAATTTGGTTAAAATAAAAATTTAATAAATTTTTTGGAAATCGGTTAAGATTTGGATATAGCTCCCATATACATATTCACTGCCGATTTCACTAATTTGACGCAATAATTTCAGTGAAATATGGAAGGTGTGACGGAATTTGGTGTAAGAGTAAATTTTGTCAAATTATATTGAAATCGTATCAGATTGGGATATAATTTTATTAAGTCCCATTGACCCACAACGCCATTGAAGTGGTATTAGTCTAACAGTAAAAACCTATACAACTATTTAATTGAGATACGCTTATTACGGGAAGTATGTTGCTACATCGAATTCACTAATTGCAATAGAAATGCCACTCAGATTTAAAAGATTGCAGTTTCTAGCAAGCTTTGCATTTGCTATGAAATTAATAAATTCGAAGGACAAACCCTTCGTGTATGAATTTCATGTTCCTGCTTTTCTCATGGCAGTATCGATTACGAACTTTAAATGCGATATTTGAAACAATTCTGGTAAATGATATCGATAAAATCATCAAAATACCGAATATCAGGGGGTGCCGTTATATGGAGGCTATACGAAGACGTTCTTTGTACTATTAACTTGTTCTATTAACTTTGTACCTCATGCACTACCCATTCTTTTTTAAAAACTCTTTCACAATATCCACCTCTGAAATACTCATGTGAAACCATACAAAAGTTGATACGCAATCCTGATTGACGGTGTTAAAAGTGACCATCCGGCTTCTAGCGGTCTCGGGGTCTGGTTCTCAATCGTCACTTTGTAACACCTCAGGACGAACACGAAATTGGAACTTTATACATCACAAATACAATACACTACACAAACACAACACCTGCTCAGACAAGGGAGAGTTGATGTTTCTACTACCGCATTCGCCCACCCTTCCATTGTCTTCCGGGTTCCATTTTAAAGTAATTTTTTTAAGACCCCACACACACTCACCTCTTTACCTAGTTGCATTTTAGTTAGAAAATTGCCCTTTTAACAAAAATTTAACACATATTTTATTTTCACTCTAATTCTAATCACAACTTTATTGACAGACGGGACTTACAACTAAATACAAATAAATTTTGTCTTTTTTTCAAACACGGACAATCTTACAATCTTATATAGAAACAAGTAAAAAAGCTGTAAGTTCGGCCGGGCCGGACTTTTAATACCATCCACAATTTGGTACAAATTTGGCAATTTCCAAAGAATGAAATCCGTTAGAAATTCTGTTAAAATCTTAAAAATACAGAATGCTTATACGACGACGTGGGCCTGTATAGGCAAATTTTGTCATAAGTTATTACAATATTTAAATGCGAAACTTGAAGAAAAACCTGTTTATAATGTAGCTAAAATCATCGAAATACCGAATATCGAGGGGCTCATTTTTTGACATAGGATGTAGCTACACGAAGACGTGGACCTGCACAGATAATTTTCTGTCTTAGGCTATAGTATCCATTACGAACTTCAAATGCCAAATTTGAAACAATTGCGGTAAATAATGTGGCTAACATCATCAAAATACCGAATATCGGGAGGTACCGTTATATGGGGACTATATGATAACTTGGACCTACATGACCCATTTACGAACTTTACCTGCCTACTGGCAAAATATACATGGGTGCAGAATTTTAGCCTTCTATCTCAATTTGTTCGAAAGATAGCGTGATTACAAAAGACAGACAGATAGATAGCCATATGGCTCTAATTGGAACAAGCGACTATAACCTCTAGTTTTCCCTGGATATTGCTTATATTTAATTAGGTGAAATTTAAAGGAAACCGACGTTAAACAACCCTACATCGAAACATTAAGAAGGTCCATCACAACATATACTTATACTATTTAATTATATTTGAAATATAGTTATATAAAAATAATTTGAATGTCTATCAATATTATCCTTTGTTCGGGATACCGTAGTATTTTGTTGTTTTTAAATAATTTTTCTTATTTTCCGATTTCTCTTTCTTTTTAGTTGCAATTCCCTGGATATTCTTCCGTGCTCCAAAAGATGGATAAAGATAAAGGGTGTCTATTACCTGGTCATTAATTAAGTGGCAAAATCTTAATTCTTATACCACAGGAGACGACAACTTTCGATCAAAAAATCTTCTTCTTGTAGCCAGGCAATTAGTTTTGACCAAATACGGATACGGACACCAAACAAAATTAGGACACCAAAAAAAAGTATGACACCAAACAGAATTAGGGCACACACAGGGAAACCTTCAAATTCAAATAAACCCAAGGGCCGGGTATTTAACACCTGATCCCCACTCAGCAGTCCGTGGAGACCAAAAAAAATATAGTGATTTTGGGGAACCTTTATATATAAAGAAATACAAAAACAAAAATATTGTTTGATTTCCAAATGTCACTATTATGATGTTCTCACTTTTTGTAAACAAGTAAACACTCATATATATATTCACTTTTTTATACCCTCCACCAAAAAAAGTATGGAGGGTATATTAAGTTCGTGATTCCGTTTGTAACTCACCGAAATAATCATTTTAGACTCAACAAAGTATATATATTCTTGATCAGCGTAAAATTTTAAGACGACTTAGCCATGTCCATTGTTTGTGAGTACTTTACCCCCTGAGAGAGAATTGTCTATACAGGTCCACGATATCGTATATCCCCCATATAACAGTACCCCCCCCCTCCCCCCGATATTCGGTATTTTGATGATTTTATCCACATTTTTCAACGGAATTGACTGAAAATCCACACAATGAGTTCCTTGTGGTTACTTTATACCTCGGCAGAGAATTATCTATATAGGTCCACGATATCGTATAGCCCCCATACAACGGTACCCTCGATATTTGGTATTTTGATGATTTTATACACATTTTTCAATGAAATTGTCTGAAATTCCAGAAAAGGAGTCCCTTGTGGGCATTTTACCTCCTCAAAAAGAATTGTCCATATAGGTCCACGATATCGTATATCCCCCATATAACTGTACCCCCGATATTCGGTATTTTGATGATGTTAGCCACGCTTGTCAATGGAATTGTCTTAAAATCCACACAAGTAGTTCTTTGTGAGAGAGAATTGTCTATACAGGTCCACGATATCGCATATCCCCCATATAAGGGTACCCCCGATATTCGGTATTTTTATGATTTTACTCACATTTTTCATCGGAATTGTCTCAAAATCCATACAAGGAGTTCCTTATGGATACTTTATACCTCGGCAGAGACTTATCTATATAGGTCCACGATATCGTATAGCCCTCATATAACGGTACCCCCGATATTCGTTATTTTGATGTTTTTAGCCATATTTTTCAACGGAACGGTCACAAGGGGTTCTTTGTACACAAGGGGTTCTTTGTGAGCACTTTTGCCCCCCGACAGAGAATTTTCTATATAGGTTAAGGATAACGTATAGCTCCCATATAACGGTACCCCGCGATATTCGGTATTTTGATGATTTTAGCCACATTTTCCTATCGTATTGCCTGTAAAATCCACACACGGAGTTCTTTGTGATCACTTTACCCCTGAAACGGAATTGTCTATATAGGTCCACAATATCATATATTCCCCATAAAACGGTACTCCCCTATATGCGGTATTTTGATGATTTTAGCCACTTTTCCGAGTGGAATTATCTGAAAATCCACACAAGGAGTTCCTTGTGAGTACTTTACACGCAGACATAGATTTGTCTTTATAGGTCCCCAATATCGTATATCCCCCCATATATCGGCACATTCCTATATTAGATATTTTAAAGATTTTAAAAGAATTTTTAATGGATTATATTTTTTTGAAATTTTTCTAATTCGCTTCAAATGGTGGAGAGTATTCAAAGTTCGGCCCGGCCGAACTTACTACTTTTTAATTGTTTAGTGTTAAAAACTACTTTTGGCCGTCTTCTTGTTTAGGTCATTTGCAACACTATGTTGCCAATTTTCGTATTTTCCCCTTTTTATAGTCGCTTCATTTTGCCACCATTTTTTCCTAAATTTTCCAATATTTATCATGGACATTCTTGATGACGATAGGGTAGCTACGAAATGGCTACTCCGCCATGGTTGTATAAAACCGTAGCCAAATAATGACTGAACGATCCCTATTTTTTTTATTATGGCAACGCCATCCATTTCCTTCTGGTCATTTTCAATTTTGTTTCGCATGATGCGCAACAGCATCCAACTTTTAAATTTTGTTTTTCTGAATCGGGTCTCTGAGCTATTTCTCTTTTCAAAGAAATAGGTGCTGGGGTAAGTACTCAAAAGCATATTTTAAAAAATAAAAACAATGTAAAAACTATTTACATTGAATTTTCAGGTAAGCCATGCAGCATACACGCCCCCTGATGACCCACCCGACGCAACAAAACTTCGACCCTTTGCTGAGTTAATTTTGCAAAGGTCGATGTGCGGAAGGTTATATTATTCCACGTGGGGAACTCCCACAGCCCTGAAGTCTCATGGCCGGGCATTTCTGGAAATTCCATGGTAAGCATATCCTTTTGGAACCATGAGGTTTGTTTAACGGTACTTTGTGTGGCGTCGCTTTTTATTAATGTATACACACATATACATGTTTGCGTTATGGTACGTACCCGTCGCCCCATACGTTTATGCAAGGTGACAACCTTAGTTTCCACAATGATATCCATTAAAGTTGAATGAAATGTTGATGAATGGAAATAAGAATAAGCTTGTGTTTATTTCTCCTCTTCATTCATATAGACGTGTTTGCTGACATAATTGAAAAATTCCAGATTACACCTGAATTATTTGGAGAATTTTTGGGTTGAAGCACTGCTACAATATTTAAGGAGACTTTGTGAGCATAATTTATATATTCTTATTTATATCTACCCCTATATTAACTCAACTTTTTTTAGGTTACTCGGGCCGATTGGGACATGAGTAAAGTTCCATAGTATTTATTTATTGAGTATCATTTGGCAGAATTTGCAGTGTGCAGAAATTGTAATGGAAATTGTAAATGGAATTTCTAAAAAACTTTTGTGGTTATTGTTTGGCCGTGGGTAAACTGTGGCGATACCCATTTAATTTTTGGATAAAATCCCCATTTGGGCTACACCAACGAGTCAGTAACCAAATCATTCAATGATTTTATTCAACCCTCCAACTACTACGTAATAATTTGGGTTTATGAAAGTGTGCCCAACAGTAAGTTAAACTTTTACTGTTTATAAATGCCGTAGTAATTTTAATTTTTTTCTTTCAGATACTTCTGAGTCGGCGGTCATGTTATTGTTATTGTCCGGTCATTGAAAAATTGATTATACTGCGTTTACTTAATTTTGACAAAATTCCTGCCTAACATTAACTTGTTTTGCTCCAAATCTTTCTATGGATAAAAGCACGGTATTCGTAATATAGAAAACTAACTATAGCATGCAATAAAGCGTCTGTCCCTGGTGTAAGTAGAAAACCGTGAGTTTATTTATGACTTGTTTTTGCTTTACAAAAAAAAAACATTTAGCTAATTTTGTCTAACTATTGCAGACGTCCCAGAACAAAACATGAGGTGGCTACTTAGAAGTTAATTTGCTGCGGAAGTGTAGATTTTGCGATTATTTTACTCCCATCGAAATTGTATCCATGTGAAGGAGTTGCTTTACCATGATATGTACAGGTGAGTGATACATTTGTGAAATTGTTTTTAGCCAGTTTGACTGGTTAGGAGTTAGGAGGTGATTGTTAGAAATTAACTGAGTTTATTGGGTGCTTTTTCCAAGTACAATAATTTTATTTATGATAACTGAACTTTCTCTGCCTGCTCAATATGGGATTTTTCCTGTAGGCCTCCTGTCCGGGAATGAATTTAACTATTCGGGCCCTTTGATTGTAGCGTTTCGCACTCCGCTCGTAAGCCTCGTGTAGGTTTTTCGCAATTTTGTCCCTGATTATTTCCAACCGTTCTTTTCTGCCTAATTCATTTATCTGATAATCGCATAATGATTGTAGTTTTCGGGCTAGCTTGTAGTCACTGTCGGACGAGTACATCTCATAACCAAATAATGCAAAGAACGGAGTAACCCCCGTTGAAGAGTGGATTGATGATCGTAAAGCACATTAGATTTCTGTTAAATATGTGTCCCATTCCCTATCAAAAGATATATTAGGGATTCGGGAATCCATAATTTCCACGGCATTTCTTCAAAATCTAAATCATTTTCTGTTTTGGTACGCTTAAAAATAAGTCCATTCTCAACATTCAGATCAGTCTTTGTATTCCTGACTTTCGAACTCGGCTGTCTCAAAGTCGAAAAGATCGTCCACAATTTCGACATCTTCTACAACTTCCAAGCGCGACAACATGTCTGCCACTACGTTGTCTTTTCCTTTTCGATGTTCAATATTGAAGTTGTATCCCTGTAACTGCATGGGCCATCGAACTAATCTACCACTGAGGTCTTTCACGCCCATGAGCCATTTTAGGCTGGCATGGTTCGTTATGACCGTGAATTTCATCATTTCCACATAGGGTCTGAATCTTTTCACTGCCATAACGGCCGCCAAACATTCTTTCTCTTTCACACGATAGTTTTTTTTGGCAATCATTTAACTTTTGGAAGGAGAAGGCTATAGGGTGTTCCTTATCATGGTCTCCCTTTTGGAATAATACATTCCCTATTCCGGTGCATCACATTGGATATAAAATTGTTTGGAGAAATCCGGATGTTCTAACACCGGTGCCGTAGTCAACGCATTTTTCAACTCCTCAAATGCATCTATGGTTTCTTGATCATCAAGAATTTTGGTCCTTTGATGTTGGCTTTTCTTAAATAGTCAGCAACTTGATCTAATAGTTTTAAATGTGTTTCGAAATCCTCTGAAATAACTAACAAATCGTCTAAATAAATGAAGACATTGGATTTTAGACGACATAGTCCGAAAGGCATCATTCTAAATTGATAGAGCGGACGTCCTGGGAAAGGCAGTGTATGGTTTTGACTCTTTATTCAGCTCTATCTACCAAAAGGCACGTTTTAAATCAACACTACTGATAAAAACAGGTTGATCTATACGGCTCAAAATTCCATCAATATTTTGAAGGGGATACGCGTCTTTCATCGTGACGGCATTTAATTTCCGCGCGTCTAAACAGATACAATTCTTTCCTGGTTTCCGCACTAGCGTAATTAGATTATTCCACGCACTATTGCTCTTTTCAATGACGTTTAGTTCCAACATTATATCTATTTCTTGCACCGCTAGAGAAATGGGTTAATGTCTATCTTTAATAGGGTTTGTTCCCTCAACAAGTTTGATTGAATGTTTTCCCAGCGTTGTATGCCCTAGACCCATTTTCTCAAATGAAGGGAATGATTCCACAGTCTTTTGCAAGCGTTCCTTTTGATCATTTTTAAGACTATGCATTTCTCTCGGATAATCGTTCTCCCCGACGAATTTTTTTGGATTTTCTCTGTGTGTATTACATTGACTGATACTTTATCAGGGGCTAAATTCAAAGCTTTCCAAAAATCAATTCCTAAATATAATTTCATAGTTCTCTTTTCGAACTTCTATCGGTAGGTAATGCCGAATGGACGGATAATTAAGTGACTCTATGCCTTTTGTTGTTGTTTGGATGTTACGGGTCTGTCTGTCGTACACGATGTTCCCGCCGACACTGTGTTCCTTTTCCCGTTTTCCGAATGGCACCTCGGACACTGCGACGGTGTTCAGTTGGCAACATCTGTAGCAGAATAGTGATCTTTGTGCCGACAAACCATCCATAAACGATGTCCTGGCCTACGACCGTTCCAACAGATTTGTTCCTCTTGGATCTCAGACACTTCTGGCATGGTTTCATTTAAACAGTAATTATCCTCGCATGTTTGCAACTCGTGCACTCTAACATTTTGGTATGGAGGTGGAGGCATATACCTCACATCTCGTTTGTTGCAAGTTTTTTCAGCTCTTATGCATTCCATTCTGAGTTCTTCCATTGAATGTATGCTCATGGGATAAATTATTCTAAATATTTCACCTTTCAAATTTCTCTTAACAATCTGGATGATTTCGCGCTCAGATATTGGCTGGCTTAATTTCGACCTTAATGGTATTTATGACTTGAAAAAAATCTAAGCTTTCCCCTGGCTTTATTTTCCTTTCTACAATTTCGCTCATGACATCAAAATTTGACTTAGTGGTGCTATATCTCATGAACATGGCGTCTTTCAACGAAGACCAATCTCGCACTACGCCAGTTTTAATTTGTAGCCAGTACCATTCGCACGCTCCACCTGAAAACAAACTCTGAAATTCGCCAAAAATGTCTTGCCAAGATACTTTGTAGTGGTTCTTCAAATACCCTAATCTAAAAACGAAATCTTCTACAGAAATTCCAGAAGGATTATCATCAAACTTCAGTTTTAACTTCTCCACTTTGCTAGGCCTCTCCAAATTGGGGCCGGGAGGAAATAACGTCATATTAGATAATGGCATCTCTGGAGGTCTGTTATTAAGAAATAAAATTTTAAAGTAATTTTTTGAAGACCCCACACACACTCTCCTCTTTACCTAGTTTGAAATTTACCCTTTTAACAAAAGTTTAACACATATTTTATTTTCACTCTAATTCAAATCACAACATTATTTATTGACAGACGGGACTTACAACTAAATATAAATAAATTTTGTCTTTTTTTCAAACACGGAAAAAATAGAAAAAATGTAAAAAAAAATGAAAAATAGCAAATTTTCCTTGTGAGAAAACTAGGGAAAGAAGCTCTCTTACAATGGCCTCACTAGCCAAAATTGGTTCTAATTGAAACAAACGATTATAACCTCTAGTTTTCCCCGTACATTGCTTATATATAATCAGGTCAAATTTAAAGGAAACTGGCGTTAAAATCCTTACATCGAAACATTAAGAAAGGACACCAAAACACATACTTATACTATTTAATTAAATTTGAAATATAGTTACATAAAAATAATTTGAATGTCTATCAATGTTATCCTATCGTTATTTAAATTAACTTTTTATAGTTTTTTATAATTATGATTTTTTTTTAAATAATTTTTCTTATTTTTCCGATTTCTCTTTCTTTTTTAGTTGCAATTCCCTGGATATTCTTCCGTGCTCCAAAACATGGATAAAGAAAAAGGGTGTCTATTACCTAGTCATTAATTAAGTGGCAAAATCTTAATTCTTATACCACAGGAGAGGACAACCTTCGATCAAAAAATCTTCTTCTTGTGGCGAGCCAATTAGTTTTGACCAAATTCCACCTCCTCGGATACGGACACCAACCAAAATTAGGACACCAAAAATAAGTATGACACCAAACAGAATTAGGACACACACAGGGAAAGTTTCAAATTCAAATAAACCCAAGGACCGGGTATATCGTGATTTTGGGGAACCTTTATATATAAAAAAATACAAAAATAAAAATGTTGTTTGTTCCCACTTTTTGTAAACAACTAAACACACATATAAATATTCACTTTTTTTAGTGTTAAAAACTACTTTTGACCGTCTTTTGGTTAGGTCATTTGCAACACTATGTTGCCAATTTTCGTATTTTCCCCTTTTTATAGTCGCTTCATTTTGCCACCATTTTTTCCTAAATTTTCCATTATTTATCATGGACATTCTTGATGGCGATAGGGTAGCTACGAAATGGCTGATCCGCCATGGTTGTATAAAACCTTAGCCAAATAACGACTGAACGATCCCTATTTTTTTTTATTACGGCAACGCCATCCATTTCCTTCTGGTCATTTTCAATTTTGTTTCGCATGATGCGCAACATCATCCAACTTTAAAATTTTGTTTTTCTGAACCGGGTCTCTGAGCTATTTCTCTTTTCAAAGAAATAGCTGCTGGGGTAAGTACTCAAAAGCATATTTCAAAAAATAAAAACAATGTAAAACTATTTACATTGAATTTTCACCGACGCAACAAAGTATTCATTTCTGATCTGCGTAAAATTCTAAGTCAACTTATCTATGTCCGTCTTTCTGTCTGCCTGTTATAATAACGCTATCTTTCGAACGTATTGCTATTTGGTATTTTGATGATTTTAGCGACAGAATCTACCGGAATTCTTTAAATGGAATTTCGTAAAGGGTTCTACAACCAATGACAGAACTCTCGTCTATACAGGTCCACGTCTTCGTATAGCCTATATATGACGTTACCTCCCTTTATTTGTTCTCTTTAATGATTTTAGCGACATTATCCGCCGTCATTTTAAAATTTCTTATTTGAAGATCTTAATAGTTATATATTAAGAACGGTACCTCCCTATATTCGGTATTTTTATGAATTTACAAACATCATCTACCAGAATAGTTTCAAATTTATGATGATTTGGTATGGCCCCATACAACGGCCTCACCCACATTATGGTTTTTGAAGAGTATAACAGTTTATCCCAACGGTCTAACTGGAATAGAATTCAGATACTGTTTTAAGACTTTTTTCGCCTTTTGAGCCATTTTAAGTTATAAAAAATTTATATATATTTTTTATTTCACCTTTTATTAACTAAGACTTTTTGTCGCCTTTTGAGCCTTTTTAAGTTATAACAAATTTATATTTTTCACCTTTTATTAACTCTTATTTTTAATTATTTTTTTTTTGGGGGGGGGGGGGTGGTGTGTTAGCGCAATTTACCGTAAGTATAGTTTAAAGTTTTACATTGTGTATTAATTTTTTTATTTAATTACTCATAAGTTTTATTTCAGTAGATTTATATATTCATAAGGTTGTAGGGTTGCAATTAGGGTACACGGTTTACAATATTTTACAATTTATGTATTTTGCGTTACCAATAGGTATTATTCACTATCTTTATTTACAATGTTCTTTTTCTAGGTTTTTTTTCTTGTTGTGTGTACACTTGGATTTATGTGTTTGATGCTTCTGGTCTTTGTTGAAAATTACTGTTATTAGTTTTGTTTATTTTTATACCCTCCACCATTTTTAATTCATTGAAATAATTATTTAAGACCCAACAAAGTATATATATCCTTGATCAACGTAAAAATCTAAGACGATTTAGCCTTGTCCGTCATTCAGTCTATTGTAATCACGCTACAGCCACAACGAATTGAGATAGGTGGGTCAAGTTTGAAGATGGGCTATATCGGTCCAAGATATCGTATATTTCAATTGAATTGTCTGAAATTCCACACAAGGAAGTCCCTTGTGAGTACTTTACTCCCTGAAAGAGAACGGTCTGTATAGATCAACGATATCGTATATCCCCCATATGACGGTACTCCCCCATATTCGGTATTTTGATGATTTTAGCCGCATTTTTCACCGGAATTGTCTAAAAATCCACACAAGGAGTTCTTTGTGGGTAATTTATTCCTTGGAAGAAAATTATCCATATAGCTCTACTATATCGTATATTTCTCATATAAGGGAACCCCGTCTGCTCCCGATATTCGGTATTTTAATGATTTAAGCCACATTTTCCAATGGAATGGTCTAAAAATCCATACAAGCAGTTCCCTGTGAGTACTTTATCAATGGGAAGAGAATTATCTATATAGATTAACGATATCGTATAGCCCCCATGTAACGGTACCCCCCCGATATTCGGTATATTGATAATTTTAGCCACATTTTTCAATGAAATTGTCTGATATTCCACACAAGGAGTCCCTTGTGAATTCTTTAACCCCTGAAAGACAATTGTGTATTTAAGTCCACGGTATCGTATATACCCCATATTACCGTACTCCCCTATATTCGGTATTTTGATGATTTTACCCACATTACTCATCGGAATTGTCTGAAAATCCACATTAGGAGTTCCTTGTGGGTACTTTATTCCTTGGAAGAAAATTATCCATATAGCTCTACTATATCGTATATTGCTCATATAGGGGAACCCCGTCTGCTCCCGATATTCGGTATTTTATTGGTTTAAGCCACATTTTCCAATAGAATGGTATGAAAATCCATACGAGGAGTTCCTTGTGAGAAATTTATCCATGGGAAGAGAATTATCTATATAGGTCTACGATATCGTATAGCCTTTATATAACGGTATTTCGATAATTTTAGCCCCATTATTCAACGGAATTGCCTGTGTTCTTTGCGAGCAATTTAATCCCTGACAGAGAATTCTCTACATAGGTTAACGATATCGTATATCCCCCATAAAACGGTACCCCCCCGATAGTCACTATTTTGATGATTTTGGCCACATTTTCTCCGTATAACGGTACCCCCCGATATTCGGTATTTTTACGATTTTAGCCACATTTTTCAACGGAATTATCCGAAATTCTACACAAGGAGTTCTTTGTGAGTATTTTACCCCAAGACATAGATTTGTCTATATAGGTCCACAATATCGTATATCCGCCAATTAGGTATTTTAAAGATTTAACTAAATTTTTTATGATTTTTTTTTTTTTTTTTTTTTTTTGAAAATTTCCTTATTCGTTCCAAATGGTGGAGGATATTCAAAGTTCGGCCCGGCCGAACTTACTGCTTTTTTACTTGTTTTCTTCCCTTATTTTCCACTTATCACTCGGGGAAAGACTTGGGTTCTCATTAAATCAGAACTTACTAGTGTCCAATTTGCAGCATCACAGAAATCAGTTTTGGATTTTGGCGATGCTTAGTTACTATAATTCAGCATTGGAATTCATAAATGGATGTGTGTATGTGCATTTGTTTACATTATTTACATCAATCCGTTTTGATATTATTTAGGCAGCCAACAATGTTGGACAAAATTGTGCAAATTTATAAACATTTTCTGGGACCCGAATGGCAAGTGTAACTTTTCATTTGTAATGTAACATAAAGTTCCTCGTTCATCAGTTCATTTTCTTGATGGGCCCAGCAATCACTTAGCCCTGTAGGCCAGGACATTGCCGATTCCTGCAGCTGTGAGCCCATCCTTCCTTATGGCGGAGTAAGTGCCTGACATCAGTTCCACATCAATCGGTTTTTTCCTCGGGGATCAGGGTCAGCAAATGCGTAGTTCGTGAAGCATCTTTTGTGGTCTTCTTATATGGGTTTGGGCAGGTCTTCGATTATAAGTGCATTTACCTTCAGTCTCCAAGTACTGTTTGTGCGACGGGGCGAAACTGTGAAGGTGGTAAATTGCTCATCTTTGTAGTTCCGCTTGACATAGTCGCAGACTGGCTAATTATATCTCGCAGCATGTTCAACCCCGCAATGCCTTTGGCCGTTATGAGTACCATCGCCGTTGGTACAAAATCAAAATCCCACGAGAAAGCTAAGGTTTCAGCCTCTACGTTAGGTTTGCCTCGTCCAATTGAGACGCCCCGTGCAGTAAGGTATGGTGCCGGTGGTTGCATCTCTGGCAACCAGGACGGACAGTCGGGGCCGAATGACTTCTCACCAGGCAATTCCGGCAATACCCCCGACGCTCCACCGTCTCATATCGCTGGAAGGGCGTCTACCTTCGGAACCTCTCACAGGCACTGAGCGCATGGTCTTCTTGGCATAGTCCAGCGATTGTCCAAACGGCAGTCCTGGTTGGGTAAGTAGGCGACCACATCTAAAAAAAAAAAAAAACAAGTAAAAAAGCTGTTCGGCATGGCCGAATTTTGAGTACCCTCCACCATTTGCTACAAATTTGGCAATTTTCAAAAAATAAATGACATTAAAAGTTCTGTTAAAATCTTAAAAATACCGAATGTTGCCGTATATTAGTGTGTATGCGACGACGTGGACCTGCATCAACAATGTACCGAATGTAGTGAGGCACCACCGCAGTATGAAAGGTGTATTAAGTTTGTCTGTTTGTTTGTTTGCTGCATCAGGAATTCCCCGATTGTGTTATTTTGTGTTTTGAAGGCCGCGGCGGTCATCTGCATAGTATCTTGTTCCATACAGTACCCCATTTAATCTACTTTAATATAATAACATTGCACTTAAGGTTCTTAACGACTTCTACCTCCTGTGTCGGAGCATTGTCTATATATGCTCACGTTTTCTTATAGCACTCACATAACCGAACAGCCTCACGATTTTAGCAACATTTTCAAACGGAATTTTTTAGAATTTGGTACTTGGGGTTCGTAATGGGTTCTACTCCCTATGGCCGAACGTTAGTTATACAGGTTCACGTTCGTTATAGCCCCTATATAACGTACCTCGCCATAATCGGAATTTTCCTGATTTTAGCGACAGTATTTACCGGAATTATTTCAAATTTCGTATTTAAAGTTCATAATGGGTACTACAGCCTGCGACAACAATTTCTGTATGCAGATCCACGTCTTCGTATAGCCCCCACATAACGGTACCTCCCGATATTCGGTATTTTAATGATTTCAGCTACATTTTTCACCGGAATTATTTCAAATTTCATATTTGAAGTTCGTAATGGGTACTGGAGTCTATGACAAAAAAATTTTATGAGGGTCCACGTCTTCCTTTAGACCCCATATAACGGTACCTCCAGATATTCGGTATTTTGATGAT